GTTCAAACCCACCAGCCACTCCTCGTAAGGAAGGTTGGGCAATCCTACTTCCTTAGTGATAACTGCCTCGGAAACCCAAGGAGGGGTCGCTAGGAGTCGGGCCGACTCAATGGCAAATAGCAACAAATCTTTACAGAAGCAGACTGCCTCATCTTTCTCTTGCAGTGATTGGTGGGTCCCAACTGTCAGCCTTTCTGTTAGCAGTGGTTTGTATTAAGAATTACACCACCAGAGCTCCTAGCCAAAATATTATCTTACACAGATAGTATACCAGTAGTGATTAAACAGAAATTAGTTTCTTGCAAAACAATCTGCTTTGCAAACAAGGGGAAAAATTGTATAATTTGAACCTTAGATGACAAATGCTGTTTTTACTCTGAATCTAATAAGTAATAATGTAGGAATAGTCAATTTGGGAAATTTTGAAATTAAGAGAAAAAATAAACGTAATAATAAAAGACAAGGACATTACTGCATTACTTCAAGAATTCAAGTACAAGTATGTTAATATTTATGGCCACCAGAACCAAATTGTATTGGTAAGTCATTTACCTTTTCAGCATTTCGTGGAATTCTGGTTTCACCTCCTTGTTTGGCTTTTTCTTCAGCTTCTTTTAAACTGTTAAGAAAAGTCAACATTTTTTGGTCAGTGTATGATTCAATTATATGTTTAGTGTTTGATCCTTGGCTAAGTACTTGTGTATCCTTTGCCATAACTTGTTGAAACTGATCCACTTACATGAGACAAGCATTTTCTTGTCTTGAATGTCTGAGTCAGAGAAATTGCCAAAGATAAGGAAGGGTGTGTAACTGACTCATTGACAGTCAATTAAAGGCTTTGTTCTGTAAAACTTGATGGGTGTGACACTTTGATTGACAAACAGAAGATTGTCAGGAAAATTCCCTTTAACAGGCCCAACCAAGAGCTTCAAACAATGCTTTGACAAGGGTGAAACCAAATAGAGCATTTGAGGTATTGTTATCCACACCCTTATGTATATAGCTTTTTATAACTTGTAAAGTATTTGTTTCCATTCTCCCCACCCTCCAAGAGCATGGTTGTTAATAAAAGCTACATTTGCATTGAGCTTCTCAACCCTTTCATATATATTATCTAATTTTAGTGTCATCCTGAAGATAAACCCAAACCAAATTCATTGTCATCCAGCCAACTTCAACTCAGACTGACCCTATAGGTCAGAGTAGAACTGTCCCATTAAGTTTCCAAGGCTGTAAATCTTTACAGAAACAGTCTGCTTCATCTTTCTCCCACAGAGCAGCTGGTGGGTTCAAGCTACTGACTTTTTAGTTAGCAGTCAAATGCCTTCACCACTGCGCTACCAGATCTGCTTATCCTGGAGGCAGGAGTTACTATTTCAATCTATGGATAAAAGAACCAGGAGCTGGGGAGGCAAGATTTCTCTTATTCAGATAGTGCATGAATTGAAACAGGAAACCACAGAATTAGGGCAGGGTTAAGTACTGAAAGTACATGCCTCCTACATAAGAAAGTGGAAATCAGGCTGATTTCCTGTCTGGAACCCTGTTATAATCACTGCTTTGTGAACCTGAAAGGACTTGCCTTTGAATTCTACAATACTTAACTGCAGTTTAAGTTTTTAATAGTTCAGGCAGGTGTGAAGTTTATTGATCTGTTAAATCTTTGTCTGTCCAGCTTTTAAAGATCCAGTGATTGAAAAAGAATGCTTTAAGGCATGCTGACATGTGTACTAGAGAGTCTATACTTTGTCTTACTGCCAGAATATTAAAGACTCATTGAATCATATTCATATCTGGGTCTCCAGTGCCCAAAATAGTGTCAGGTACTCAGGGAAAAATTCTTGAGTGAAAGATTAACCCAGAAAGATTAGTCAGCCTTTTGCACTAATAACGCATTCAGCCTCATGACATTATTAGTACTTTTTAAATTAGACTGTGATTATTCCACAAGGGTCTCTACCTATGCTCAGCGTAAGTCATCTGTCTCTAAATATGACCTCCATTATTCCGTATATAAGTGTTTTCTAAATTTTAGAACTCTGTGCCTTATGAACACTGTGCATTTCCATGTCATTATAATTAGAATAATTTAGAGTCCCAAATTTAATAACTAGCGTAACCAACTTAAGGCCTAATGATACAAGCAATAAATGTTTGACTAGTAAGCTATATGTTGGCAGTCAAAAACTCAGTCAGAGACACAATGGAAGAAAGGCCCAAGGATCTGCTTTCATAAAGATTCCAGCCACAAAAATCCTAAGAAGCAGTTCTATTTTGCACATTCAAGGTCACCAGGAGTCAGAATCTACTCAATGGCAACAAATTTGTTTCGAGTATATCTACCATAGCTACTCCTTTTCAGAAACTTCAGTAGACAGTATGATAAAAGAAAGAAAAGAAACCACTCTGGGAGTAAGATCTAATTATGAAGGCATAAGCTTGCATATTTCATGAAACAGATTTCATCTCTCTGTGGAGTTGTTCTCAGGACAAGAACCAAGTACCAATTAATCATTATCAGGTCCACCTGCTTGGAGATAATATTACTTACAACAGCTCAGCACACATTGCACACTTATTGCCATGCGTCCTCCCATCAGGACCAAGAACAGGATCATTTTCCCTTGTACATCCAAGTCTTCCATCCTTCACATAGGGCCGAAAAGCACTACACACATCCTGATGAACAGAGAAAGGAAGGTGGCATACAATATTCTGATTGTAATTCTTGACTCTGTTTTCAGAAATGTAGAACACTGTGCCTTTCTGACCAATGAGCTCTAGCCCTTAGAGTAATGCCAGCCAGGTAGTAGTAACTCAACTATTGTATAATGCATAAGATTAAGTGTGAAATTCACTCACTTAGTCATTCTACCAACACTGATAACCTACTATATGCCAGAACTAGGAATGGCACAGTTCTTGCCTGAAACATTTAAAATAAAACCAAAAAAACTCACTGCCATTGAGTCAATTCCAACTTTAGTGACCCCCTTTTGGCTTCCAAGGTGGTAACTCTTTACAGAAGTAGAGTGCCCAGTCTTTCTTCTACAGAGTGGCTGGTGGGTTTGAACCTCCAACCTTTTGGTTAGTAGTAAAATGCCTTGGGCACTAAGCCACCATACATTTAAAATGCTCTTATGGAGGTAATGGCAGGCACTACAGGATCATATAGAAAGGGTCCCAAACCTTGACTTAAGAACATCCAGCAAGCAAAAGGCAAGGGTGACGTGTAAGAAATGCTCACTTCCTACTCTTACCATCATAAGCTCACAGACTTTTAGAAGATATTTAATACAAATCTCATATTTGGGTGTGTTAACATAGATTAAGAAACTTCCTAAGATTTCCTAATAGCAAGTGACAATGCTGGAGCTTCAATTCAGGTTAAGTGACAGACTATAGGGTTGTTTCTAATACATATCCTAACATTTTGATCACTTTTTTTTTTAATAGAAAGTAGAAATAGAGCAAAAAAGTTTAACTACCAAAGTAGCCTGCTCCAGAGCTCCTGCTCCACTTACAGGCTTTCAATTGCTTCTTCACATAAACAGGCAGTATTGCATTTCGAGGGGAGCAAGAATTATTTTCTTCCAAATAGCCCACCCCCCAAGAAAGATGAGTTCTTCTGCTTTCTCTTTGAAGTCAGTCTCCTGCATATCCCACCACATTCCTCACCTGCTCAGGATTATTTTTCTCACATTCTCCTTCAGTCTTTATGCCAACTTGGGATCTTGTTTTCCTGGAATGCAGAGTTAGTAAACACAGCAGTTTAATAACAAAGCACTTCTTACCATTCAAACCTAAACTCTCTTAATTTAAGTATGATTCTCCTTTGCTCCTGAATCCAGTGGGCAATCTGACACTCAATGTTAAATAAAAAGAATTACACCAGAATTTAGGGGGAGATAAAATTTCTCTACTTCCATAGTGATACTGCCTCAGAAACCCAAGGAGGGGTCGCTATGAGTGGGGTCCAACTCGATGGCACATAACAACAACAACAAAAAAAATTTCTCCTGGCCTAGAGATGTAGAGAATTATTCATGGTATTCCACACATATGAATGGAACATACAGTTTACCCATAGTGTGTTAGAAAATAAAATCAAATAAAAACCTGTGTATCCTCTGTGTTTCTATTTTCATATTCTGTAACTTGTGGTGACTCTTTGTGAGAGTTGAGAGTGTAATCTTTGAGTCTTTCTCTGAAAATACAGTCATAGCAGTGTGACTGAATTTAGTTGTATTTTGGTGAAGATACTTATTACAAGGAGGGACAAAGCTTGCAAGAGACTGGAAGAATGAATATTTATCATATTCTTTACTAGACTTCTCAAATAATGGTAGCTATATTTGCAAAAACTAAAGAGCAGACAATTCAAGATTGAGGTCAAGCCAGAACCTGCAAAGCAGGTATGCCATGCTGTTGGCATTGAGGGTGGAGAAGAAACAAAATGTGCATAAAATATAGGACAGTAAGATACTTTGACTATTTAGCATAGGTTGAGAACATTGGAAGAAATTCAAGACTAAAAGTCCCAATTACCTACTCTAATATTATAAATTACTGATGATGAAATATCAACTGATGATGAAATCATTCTCCATGAATAGGGATATGTCTATAGATAGATAGATAGACAGACACCCAGACAAATAGATGGGTAGATATGTATGTACGTGTGTGTTTGCATACTTATCTTTCATTGAAACCGAAATAAGAGTATGATAAATTATACAGGTGTTTTGTAAAATACAAAATAGTATGTGTGTTTATATATATATATATTAT